GATTGAAATCCCTCTGTAAGACTCAAGCTCGGTTACAGACGAGGGGGCAATGGTGCAGGAGAAGAACACTGGAATAGGAGATGCGAGAAAAATCCAAGGGACTCACCTTGGAGAGGACGTAGGGGTTACGGAGATGATGAAGGATGTGGCTAAGCTGAAGAATGATGTTCGGTTTCTGGACGCACCGTCATAGCCAATGTCATAGGATTGGGGCGGGATGAGGTGGTGTCGACGGCAACCCAACTACTCCTGCATGATCAGCTCGTGTCCCCTGGCGGGAAAGCAGAGGCAGGTGGCAGCAAGACTGCTCCTCAAACCCCACAGCGTCCATCGGGTTGTAAGAGACGGGATGAAAGCAATCTAGAGGAGGATGGAGTACACAAGGCCACCAGGATTGCTCTGGCCTCCTCGTTTGCTGCGTGTGACACGTCCGCGCGCATTCTGCCAAACCCGCTACTGGCGCACGGTTCCATACCTCACTAGATGTTCACACGCGGGAGATAGCTGATGGGGGTTACGGTGCCGGCAGGGGAGGCGTGGGGAGATACGTGAGCGCATGATAGGGTGAAGGAAAAACCGGACCAAGATCTGGTATCCGATACAAACGACGACGACGATGAAGACGGCGCGAGTGCCACCAATTATACCAGAGTGAAGATAGAGAAGGACTCTGACAAGTATGGTGTGAAGATCCTGATCAAGGAGGATGGGAAGCGGAAGCAACAGAGCTTGGGAGCATACACCTTGATCGACGAGGCGGCGTACACGTATGCGACAGCTATGTGCGTGCTCAGGCCAAAAGACAAGATACCCAACACAGTGAACCTTACAACTGATGAGAAGGCACTGCTGCGTGGATGCACCAAAGATGATATGCAACTCCTTGTGGAAGCAAGGAAGTGGTGGAGGTGGAGGAGCTGGCGGGAGGCGCTCGAGGGCGTCAGCAGCAAGCTGAGACGCGGCGGGGGAGCGCCAGAGGTGGGGTAAAGAGGCAGAGGGTGGGAGAGAGCAACGCCACAGGGGCGAACAAACCGGATGACCCCGATAATGCTGAGAGTGGGGGAACCATCTCTGTCAACAACGACAACGGTGATCGTACGAAGATCACGGACCAAGGAGTGCATGTGGAAGAGGCGACTACACATGATAAGACGTATGCCTATGCTGCATAGGGGATGTAGAGGGACAGTACATTTGAGCCCTAGTGATATACAGCGATGTTAGTGGGCGTTGCAATGCGAGACATTGAGGGTTTAATCTTGCTTTTTTATATGCTAATGGTCATGATGGTGAAAGTGCGTTCATAAATGGTTGGGCAACGTGGTGTTTCCTAATGATGTTGAATTAACTCGGTATAAGGGTGCGGAATCGTGCACGGAGTGAAAGTGTAGTTGTTTGGAAGTGTGCGAAATGAAACTCAGATGGTTACAATCCCGAACCACAAGGATACGGGTTGTTCACGTGGAGGTGCACAGTGTGTGGTTCACAAGTGCACACATATCATAGATAGCGGATGACGTGGGGTTCAGTCATTTGTCAATTTGGATTGCGGTAGTCTGAGAGTCCACGACGTCGGACTACCTAAATTACAGACGGAAAAAACAGGGGTGTGGGGTTATGTGGAGTTGCGTGGAGGACTTGATGTAGGAATATAATTCGTAGTGTCATTATGTGCGCATAATACTGGATACTTACGTTACGAGAATGGTAATATCACTTGCTTCCGAGAGACAAGGTCGGGACGGCGGGCCCGTCGTGTCTCAATGTCGGCGGCGTATCTGCGGGCGTCTTATCAGCTGACGATGCCGCGAGGTTGATTGTCGAACGGGACGCGAGGGGCAACGTTGCCTAAGCGTTTGAGTATTTCCAAGAAGGCCAAGGAGGTGGTGCATCAGGACGGGTATGCAAAATCGTTTGGAGGGTTGACGCTGTGTTGAACTTGCTGTGTTTCAAATGGCGGGAACACTCACTATCCGTTGTTATGCTACTGACATGTGGTTTATGTTATTTTTGGTTCTGTACCAACCACACACATGACGGCATGTGCGCCGAGACTACAGATTCGTCCCGGAGTAGTGACGACGAGGAGGAGGCCGACTCTGACACATCAACTTCGGGTTCACCCGAACGATCCGTCGGCCGGGCTACGAGGGGGAAGATGGACGACGATCGGTGCAAGGGTACCGCTAAGCACAATGCTGAGACACAAGACGAGCGTGAAGAGAGGGAACCGGAGTTACATCAAGATGACGAGCGCACGCCCGTGGATGGACATGTGAAACGCATCGGCGGGACACCATTGGACACCAACAACGAGGATGTGCGCATCTCGAGCAAGGTCCTCGAGCAACTTATCCATGCGCATGATAAGAGCGCAAAGGAGAACGCTCGGTTGGAGGCACTATTCTTGCATGCAATATCCAAGCCTTCAGGTGGTTCTCGATGCCGTAAGGCGCATAAGCAGAGAGACTTAGGACATGGGTGTATGATCCCCAAGCGTAAGCGTGTCGAGTCGTGGAGCGGGGAGTCAGATGATGACGCCGAGGACGACGACGAAGACATGCAGGGATCGGGTGGCCGTCATATTCGCACTGCCAAGTCTCCTATTCTGCAACGCACTTTGGAGCATCTGCCGACACATAAGGCATGGAAGGTGAGCGGGCATGCGTCCGTTGCGCGCAATACTATTTGTCGGACGTAGTTGCCATGTGGCTGTAATTCTTGTATTGGGTGTACTGACTTTGTGCAATGTGCATACAAAATGTGCGCAGCGGGTGTGCGAACTCGCCCGGGTGCACATATTTCTCAACAAACCCACGTCGATGATGACGTTCTACCCGAGCAGCGACGATAAGACACACGGCGTGTGTGCAGTGCTGGACCACTTGCCTCATAGCTTTGCGTGTTTGGCTTTGGCGGCTGACACGTCGCGCCGTGCAGATCTCATAAGACGCTGTCGGAATGGAAGACCAGGGCTGCCGCTCGCGTGAGAGACATTGCACTTCCCAAACTCGGCCTGTTCCGCGACGATCGGGATGCCTCCCATCCGTGGGCACGAGAGAAGGAGCACAGCATCGAGAAGATAAGGGAGCACATTGGGCTTGGAGCTGACCCCCCCGGTGAGTGCGATATTGGATGTATTAAGCACCTCATGTGTTTTGTGCATTGTATGGATGGCTCTCAGTGCAACTGATCGGGCACATGTGGTGTGCAGAAACTCTGGTGCTCACGAGCTGGGCGACCAACAGGGATGGGATCCCGCTCGCATCCCAGGCCTTCGCAACTTGTGCGAAGGCCGCATTCAAGCCAAAGAAGGTCGGGCTGGTGATGACACTGAAGGTGTATCACCTGGCCTGGTTGGAGCATTTGGTGAGTTTTTATGCTACATGTGGCTGTTATGTTGAGCGGGGTTGGTAGACATGAGAGTGACGTATTTTGTGGTGGCGCAGGTATCCGACAGCGTCATCTACTGGGAGGAGAGGAAGGGCCGGCTTTCCAACTCCGTCGGTGGGAACGCCCATGTTGTGAATGGGCTCAAGGTCCTTGTGAATTAGGCAGTGGAGAGATCGATTAGGATCGGCAACCCCGAGTATGACGCGGAACGCGAGGCATGGATATGGGGACGCCATGGCCTGTGCATTTGTGCGTGCGGACTAGAGCACGTGAAGCATATGGCCGCAGCTCCTTCCGAGGACCAAGTCGGGGATGATGACCTTTCGGCGTCATTTGGGGCAGAGTAGATAAACACACATGTTGTTTCGATGGTTGCTGATGTGGGACATTGATGGGAAAGGATGGGAGCTTGTGACAATGTATTTTGTCACGGAGCTGCCAGCTGGCGCGTCTGGCATGGACGTGCATGGACCTCAGCGGCATCCACCTCTCCGATCGTGCTCTCACGCGAGCCACCTCCTTGCGCAGTCAAGTGCAACTATTCTATTCACGACAAGGAGATGCTCGCCATCATCTACGAGTTCAAGCTATGGCGCTGCGACCTGACTGGGGCCGACGTCACTATTCGCACCGATCATAAATCACTACAGTACCTTCGCGCGCAACCCTACCTCAACCAGTGACAAATCAGGAGCCTCGAATACATGGAGTCGCATTTTCACTATCGCATCACCTACAAAAAGGGCGCGCCCTGACCCACCTGATAGTTCAATCCGCTGCGGTACTGATCACCCATGTGAACCCGGGGCTTCAGCACATACTCGTTCTTCACGACAGGCAATCACCTATAGGCGTCGACGCAGAAGGGGGACTATTACCGAAAAGCTAGAAATGACCGAGTTTGGGTACCAGCTTACCGCCTGCTCCGAGAGTAGCTTTTCCAGGAGGTCCATGATTTGAACATCTCAGGGCATTTCGGAGTTGACAAGACGCAGAAAATTCTGCACCATCAGTACTAGTGGCCCGATTCTAACTCTGGCGTGCAGCATTAGGGCGTGTAAAATCGCCGCACACATGCGAAATTTGCTAATGGCCGGATTTTCGGCCATTAGGGTACTTAGGGGTTAGGGTACAAGACAGCTTGGTACTTAAGGGTTCAAACGGGTACTCTGGCCAAAACGGCCCGACGAATGGTGGCCGAATTTCTGGGTTCGGCGATTTTACACGCCCTTATGTGTCCTTATGCAGAGTTTGCCAAGCAATGAAATCAACACGTCAGCGACCGGCCGGCCTGCTGCAACCCCTCGAGCCACCCGAGTGGCCGTAGCAACATGTGACAATGTATTTTGTCACGGGGCTGCCAGCTGGCGCGTCTAGCATGGACGTGCATGGGCCTCAGCGGCATCCACCTCTCCAATCGTGCTCTCATGCGAGCCACCTCGTTGCGCTCTCTCACGTGGCTCAACCTTTGGACTTCCTCCGGCTTCACTGCAGAGGGGGTGCCACAGCTCTTCTCCCTCACAAATCTCACATTTCTGATTCAAGCTCGTCCATTTTGCGGGTCTTGTTGATTCCGTTCACGTTGATGCATAGGATGCGAAGGTGTATTAACATGGCCATGCTGTGGAGGCCACCGCACGAGAGATCATGCGTATCCACGGCCTAGGTCGTAGGGGGTTTTGTTGCGGGGTCGACCGGGGCGGAAGAGGGGTGAAAAGGGGAGACGGGGTGCCCCAAAGATATTGGTGATAAGCTTGGGGGAGGAGGTATACCGAGCCCTGGCGTGGTGTCGTGGGGGAGGGGGGTTTTTCAAGTGTAGTGCAATTGAGGGCAATGTGGTAAGACATGAGTGGTTGAGAGGGGCGCAGAGGGCTGTGTGGTCTGTAGTTGGGTAGCGTAGGCGTTGCTTGATCGTGTGGGGGGAATGCTGTCAACAAGTAAGTGGGGAGGGCTGCGGGTTCCTTTAAGTTGTGTAGGTGTTTTATATTGCTAGGTTCTCTGGCATGACTCCAGCGTGCTCCTTTATCTCTTTTACTAGGAAGAGTTGCATATGGGGGGGCGGTTTTACTCAGCAGGGGGGGTGGGGGGGGGAAGTGGGAGGGCCGGTGGGCTGCGAACATGCAAGGTCAAGTTTTATTAGATGTTCATGAGGAGTATAACTCAAACCTAACCAACAAGTGCAGCAAAACAGGGGCACGCGTGGGGCATTTAGGCACGAATCATAGTCTTCATCTTCTTAAGGAAGGCCTCGATTCTCCCGTTCTCAGGAAGGCAGAGAAGCTCCAGGTGAGGAAGGTCTCCTTGGCTGCGGGCTGGTGCGCGTTGGCGAGCAGCTGGGCGCGGTGTTGTGCAGAATCCATGTGCTTCAGCGCGCTGTCCAGCGCCAGGCCACATACGAAGTTGCAGGACACACAGGTCCATGGTTCGACGTCCAATTCCGTGCCAATGAATAGGAGACTGGGGTCGGCACAGAAGGAGTTGGGTGCGGCACGAGCTCCGAGGGCACGACCTGGGACGTCCGAAGGCCGAGGTCGGAAGAGTGAAGATGGAGAAGCAGAGGTTAAGGGTGGGAGGAGGGGGACGGGGAGAGGAGGTGGATAAGGAATTATGACGAATACGCTGCGTGGGGCCAGAATGTCAAAGCCACAGCTTATTGGGAGGTGAAGAGGAGGCAGGGCCGGGGGGAAGGGGGTAGGGCGGGAGCGTTTACCGTTCGCCTTCTGCAGTTGGGCAACGGTGAGGTTTGTCTTGTTGAGCCGACCCTTGCGCTTACATGGGAAGGTCGCATGGTCCTCCACACGGTGATTGCTCGCGCAGATAGAGCAGACGTGGGTGAAGACGTTCACGAAAATGTCCGGATCATTGCCGCCAGTGGGGATCAGAGCCGGAACGATGAGGAAGTCCGGGTCATTCGGTAGCGGGGTGGGGATGCCTGTGAGGATGGGGAGGAAGACCCCGTCATAGGGATCTTGCATGCGGTGGAAGGAGTTCATACCCGCCATCCAGCCGGGAACTAGGTACGCGAATAGGTCTAACTCCTCAATGCGGGCCGGGACCTTGCGCAGGGAGAGGTCGGAAGCGCCATTCGCCTCGGCCTTCGTGAAGTCAGGCTGAGGGTCGACATACGGTTTGACGTTGATGAATCGGCCAGGGGAGAGCTCGATGGGGTGCTTGAAGATGGGGAGGAACTCGTCGACAGACTGCCTGGTTGGCCAGGAGAAACAGATCGAAGCGTAGGACCACTCGGCAAAGCGCAGGGTCTCTCCATTGGTAGGGCGGGCGTCAGGGACGAAGTCGCAATCGAAGAGAGAGGGACTCAGCTTGGCGCGGATCTTGGAGATAAGGGTGGCGCCGATGGCATTGGCTCCTGGCTCGGGAAAGATCAGGGTGATCATGTAGCGGCTACTCATCGGGAGGACACGAGGGAGCAGAGCGGGGGGGGGGGCTGAGTAGCTTGACGGTGGGAGCGGGGCAGCTCCAGCTCGGGGTTCCGGTCCACCGGCGGGGTCTCCGGAGCGGTCGTTTTTGGCGGTCACAGCAGGGGCCGGCGGGCCTGAGGAGCTGGGAGCGGTAGCCGGTAGAGCGGGGTAAACGGGACCGGCGTCGCCCGGTGCAGGGGCCGATTCGGCCGCGGAGGAGGCGGTCGTGCTGGTGGTCTGCGCTGCGGGCATCACGGACATGTCAGTGGATCCTTTCGTGACTCCAGAGGTGTCAGTGGTCGGTTCGTGGGGAGGGATGCTGGAGTGGGCAACGATGCACGGTTTCTTGGAGGCACGGAGTTTCTGTTAAATGCACGTCATTTTGAGTGCATGTCATCCTAACGTCCTGCCGAGTGCTCGTGCTATTCATGTGTGCATTGCTTTCATGAGCATATGTCATTGTGGATGGCTGTTGGATATTATCGTCTCTGTATTTTTCTCCAAGTTTAAATGCTTGATCATGCAGGAGAAATCCAGAGCTTTCCAACGATACCAAGATCCCCTTATTCCGACCAAGATCGCCCAATTTACAAGATTTCCAAAACTTGGATTTCTTAGTACCTTTTGGGGTTACATCTAATTTGGGTGATTACTTGGACATGACTATAAAGGGATCTTTGGTTGGGTGGTTAGGAAGACAACTTGGACTTTTGGATTGGGGTGGCTAGAAGTTTCTAGCATGGGTTGCAAATGTTGCAACACCTAGGCAAAATACAACTAGATTGGATTTTGCACATGACACCTCAAGGACCTCATGATGAGGGTTGCACCCTTGCTGCTAGGAAGGTTCATACCAACCTTCCCTAGCTCTTGGAGAACCCCTTCTCTCTTGTGGTTCTCTTGGAGTCCCCAACTCCAACTTTCTATTCCTTAATGCTTGTACTTCCTCTACCATCCTAGTCATGCAGCTGCTGGACGTTTTTACTTGGTTCTCACTCTCTAGACCATTTTTTCTAAGTGATTCGAATTGGAGATGGTAGCTAAGCCTACGGCGCAACTTCTTACCGAGCGGATTTGCGTTTAGTTGAGTAATGAGTTCGTCGTAACCTCTCAAACTGACGGATCATAAACAACAAGTGGTATCAGAGTGGGTAGTCGACTTTGAGACGATGAATCGCAGTCAACTCTCAACCAATGTTGACAAGAGAGACATTTTCTAGTAGCTCGGCTCGCGAAATTTCTATTGGTGGTCGAACCGCGTGCTAATTCAAAGTTTCCAGTATGCGACGGCGATTTTCGTGAAGTCAAAATTTCTGGCAGAATTCTCTCCAATCGATTTATCAAGTTTCCACCGTTCATAAGGCCTCAATATGACTGGTACGGACTCCGGAGGTGCTAATGGCAAGATGGATAGAGGTAGAGAGGCTGAAGAGCAGGGGGGAGTTGCTGGTGGAGGAGTGGGGACTCACCAACCAGCCAACCCTACGCTACCCTCAACATCTACAACATCTCCTACAACCGCGGATCCTGTGAAGGCGTTCTCTATTGAGAAGTTCATGGGGGAGGACTACGAGCAGTGGAGTTTCCGCATGAGGCTGATGTATACCCAATACAAGCTATTAAAACTGATGGAGGGGAAGGAGAAGATGCCGGAGGCCGCGGAGCTGAAAGGAGCGTGGATGAAGCGATCGTTCGACGCATACATGCTCATGATGCAAGCGGTTGGCGGGCGACAACTTGACCACACCAAGGACCTCTTGGGTGATCCAGAGTGTGGCCCCAAGGCTTGGAGGAAGCTTCTGGATGTGCACTCACTGACACATGCTACCGGCATCGTGCTACTCGCGCCGCGGCTGCGCGACATCAAGTTCGTTGATGGAGAGCCGATGCAACTGGTGTTGGATGAGATGCGGGACATCTTCATGAAGCTCCAAGGCGGCGGTGTGGTGTACCCAAAGCTCGCATGGAGATCATGATACGGCTGTCGGAGTCGTGGTCTGCCCTTGCCATCAACCTCAACTCTCAACAACCCCAATGGAGCGTGGAGTGTGGAGCGCTCGGAGGAAGGGGCTGCCTATGGAGTCGGAGGAGGAAAGAGTGGCTTCAAGAAGAAGTGGAAGGGCAAGAAAAATGACAACCCTAAGGAGGATGGCGGCGGGGGTCAAGGGGAGGTATGCTTCTACTGCAAGAAGCGCGGACATCGTTGGCGGAAGTGCTACCAACGATCAAAGGATTGGACCCCGCCTTCATCAAGCAACCAGCATGGTGGCAAGAGTGAGTGGGGGAGTCATGGGAGCTAGTGGAGAGGAGAAAGGGAGTCACCACATCCGTGAGCACTCTTGGCACACCCACTGACAGCGTTGCTTTTCGCCCAAACAGAAGGTGGTAGGTCGACACGTCTTTTAGTGCTGCCTGTTTGCTGAAGCGGTACCCCACCATGACCCAATGCAAGTGCTTGTCCCAGTCCCGCTTCTTGGCCTCTCTATAGGACCTCAGGCCCTTCTTTAGCATCTGGATGAGGCGCTCTGTCAGCCCATCACTCTGTGGGTGATTTCGCGAGGTGGTGCGATGAGTGATGTGACATGACGCCAGCAGCTCATCAATCTCCCCTTGAAATTCCGTGCCCTGGTCTGTGAGCACTTCCCCACAGGCCCCAAAGCGGGTGAGCACCTGCTCTTCAAATGCTTTCGCCACTGCTCCTGCTGTCTTGCTTGTGAGAGCTCGTTGTTCCACTCACTTGCTCACATGCTCTATCATGACCACCACGTAACGATGCACCTGCTTGATTAGCGGCAGCTCTCCGGCTAGGTCCAGCGACCATCGGTACCCTAGCCCCACGATTGGCAGCGGCTGCAGCTCTGCTTGGCTCCTCTCGAAGGCTGCCTTGGTCCTGACACCTCCCCACCCAATCCTTGATGTCCTTCCTCATCTCTGCCCACCACCAGCGTGTCTGCAGCAGCTGTTGTGTTCTCAAGGGCCCATAGTGCCCCAGACGGTTATGCACTTCCTGGATGATGCCCTCCTGCTCCTTCCGCGCTGGCACCCTTTTTCACCCATCCTTGGTCCGTATCTGCACTTGGTCCTGGTACCAGCGATAGTGCTGCCCCCTGCTGCGTGTCCTGGCTGACAACACCGCTCCTTCTGTCGTCTCTCCCTTGAGCCATGCCAGTGTCTCAGCGTCCTCCCACACATCCGGTGCTCCTGCCTGTTGCTCTATCCGTAATGGCGTCACTGGGTCTGGTGCCATGGCCATCAGCGCCATCTCTGGGGCCAGCGCTGGAGGGTTCCTGGATAACCCGTCCACGTGCTGCATCATCTTGCCTGGGCGGTGCCTGATGGTGAACTCATATTCCTGTAGCTTCATTGCCGAGCGGGCGTTCCTGCCCGTGAGCGAGTGGTTCTGCATGAGCCACAACAGGGGTTGATGGCCCGTTACCAGTGTGAATGGCCGGCCTTCCAAGTAGACCCGGAAGTGTCCCACGGCCCATACCGCCGCCAAGCCCTCCCCTTCGTAGGAGGAATAGTTTGCCCCTGCGGGATTGCATGAGCAGCTGGCGAAGGCCACCACTTCTGCTCTTCCCGTAGTAGCTTATTCAGCGGCGCCGCCCATTTGCTGAAGTTCTCCACGAACTTCCTGTAGTAATTGAGAAATCCCAGCAGTGCTCGCAATGCGCTTTTGTCCTTGGGTGGTGCCACCCTGTCCAGCACCTCCACTTTGGCTTGCTGAATCGCTAGTCTCCCTCCTTTTACTTCAAAGCCCAGGTAGGTGACAGAGCATGCCCAAACCGACACTTCTTTGGGTGACAGGTCAGCTCGGCTCCTTTGATCCGCTCCAACGTCTCAGCTTGCCGCGTAACGTGCTCGTCTAGTGTCGTCTACATAGCACAACGCTCCCTGTAACCCCCGTAGCACCCCGTCCATCACTTTCTGGAATAGGAGTGATGCGTTCTTCAGCCCAAACGGCATCTGGTTCCACTTGTAGGCCCCATCTGGCCCATGAAAGGCAGTCTTGGCCTTGTCTTCTTCCGCTATTGGGATCTGATTGAAACCCTGGCGCATATCCAATGTTGAGAACACTCTTGCCTCTGACAGCTGATCGGTGATTTGTCCACCATCGGGGTTCAGTACCTCTCAGGTACCGTGACCTTGTTCAGGTCGCGATAATCTCCACACATCCTGAGAGAGAGGACTGTCCCCGTCAGGTCCATCCGAGCCGCTACCACCGTTGCCGCTGCATAGTTTGATTCCGACCTCCGAATGAGTCCCGCTTCCAATAGTTCCAAGCATTTCTCTTGACACACTTCCAGGTCTTGTGGGCTCATCCTCCTCCTCCTCTGGTACAACGGGATGGTGGTATTCAGGTTTACCGTCATGGTCGCGCAATTGCAGCACCCCGGTTCCTTCAGCATGTAGGAAAATGTCACCTCGGTGACTCGCCAGCAATGCCTCCACTGCCTTCCGCTGCTCGCCTTGCAACGCTTCCCCTATGTCCCAAACTGGTGCACTGTCCGTACGCTCTGGTTTTGTTTGTGCCTGACTCATGACTCTTCCTTTCTCTCCCCTTAGCTCGTTTTCTTCAGTCCTTGCGGCGGCCTTCTCCTCCTTCGGGACGACCTCCAGTGCCATGTATGCTGGGCCAATGGGCAGCCAGTCTGGAGGGTCGAAGAACTCCACCTCCATGTCACAATCTGAGTCTCGGAATTCCTCCGGCGGTTCCTCCTCCTCCGCTTCCTGTTCCCCCTCCATGTGCTCGTCTTCGTCTTCCTCGTCCTCTTTGCTTTCTGCCACGTCTGCGTATCATCCTGGTATTCCCTGGCGCTGTTCTTCCGGGATTCTGCGCCACCACCGATCTTCTTCCTTTGCCTCCAATCCTTCCAGCATTGTTCGGGCTTCCATCTCCTTATCTGCCGCCAAGCACGTCTGCGGCCTAACCTGCGTTGTCAGCCCGATCTTGCGCTCCAGCCACTTTTGGTCAAGATGGTCTGTCATTGTGATAATGAGCTAGTGCAGCGCATTAAGGTCCATGGCCCTACCCAATGCCGCCTTCCTCTCCTTTTCCGTCATCTGCAGGCAAGCCGTTGCTCCTGCCAAGAAACCAATGGCCAGTTCTCGTTCTTGTGCCGTAGGATCCTCCCTTTTCCCCGTGCTTGATCGTATACCATGCCTGGTCCCAGTAGGTCCCCCACCTTTATGAAGCTCCTCGCATATTCATACGACACAAAGGTCGACCACGCCTGCCGCGGTTCCCCCACCTTGTTACA